GAGTTAAGTATTATTAATCGGCATTTTATTAATATTGACAATATCTGGTCATTTCACCGTCGAAACAGTAAACATTTTGCCAAAAATTTCGTCTTTTCTCAAATACTTTTCAACCGTTGGACTAACACGAAAATTGCATATGATCTTTTTTGCAGCTGACAATGAGAGCTAGAACTTTTGTCTGTAATATTTTTTGCTAGCGTCGATAGTTAACGAGTATTTTGCAATAAACTATTCGATCGTTTTTTGTCTCACGTTCGACTTCTTACTTTCCTAATAGTTTTGTGTACAACAAGAAGCAAATAATGGAGATATAGTAAATATCCCAATGTCTCTTCCAGATAAGATTCTATATAAAATTATAGTAAAACGAGCCAGAGAGTAGTAATTATGACATGAACAGAAATTAGGATATTTACTACATCTACGTATGTACAAAACGGGCATCGACACATTTAATTATATCGCTACATTAGGAAAGATGGGAAAGGTTCGAGAGCTGTTGGTACGTACATAAAAGCATCGCAGAGATCAACTATGTATAGTCACGGTCTTAAATAAATCAGAGGGCCTTATTGCCGGCAATACTTTGCCCTTTAAAAGCTCTAGCGTCATACCATATGAAGGGGACGTGTGTGCAAGCACATAATCAGAACAAAACCGTTTAACCCAGTTGTAGCTATGATTAACATCATGCTCATAGGTGCACGTTTCACCCAGCTCGCTATCAACGAAGCGTATTACGATATAGCCAGTAGTTTCATAACGTAACCACTGACTGCTCGATATTTGTTAAATTAATTCCTCGCTGCCAAGACGCGTCGCGGTCCAGGTGGAACACAGCATTTAACGTGCAATCGATTGTTCGGTTGACCAATTAGGCAAGAACCACGGCGCGCAGCGAAATGTCGCGTCTCCACCCAACGTCAACCCCGTGAAACCACCCGGCGGCCGACGAGGAACGAGCAAGCGACGAAACAACGGAGCGAGGCTTGCGGTGGTTAGCGAGGCTCCAGCGAGCAAACCACCCACCGGCGTTATCGGTCGGTCGCGTTTAAAGCTCCGCCAGTAAAAGGATAAATTGCGCGACTCGTGAGAGAAAAGGAGGCCCGTAACGCGTGGGGCCGCGAGGGTGCGGAGACGCGCGGGGGTCGAAGAGTAACGGCGGGCGGACGGGGGATACCGATGGGAGGGCAGGGGGGTTGGGTAAATGGAGAAGGGAACGAAGAGAGGAAAACGGCGGTCCCTGTCAGCAATTGCCCCCTCTCGTAAGAAAAAATGGCAGCTGGCTAGGAAGCCGCGGTACCTGAAGCCCATGCCACGATATCCCGGCACCACCCTCCTTTTCGCTCACTCGAATGGAGCTCGGAAGGGCTCGAGGAGAAACGGGAGGCCGACCGTGCCGAAAGAAGCAACCTGGACGGGAGAAAAGAGGACGGTTTCTGATAGAACCTCCCGGTCGAACGGAGAGGAACGGAGTGTATGTACTGGCGAGAGGAGAACCGCGAAAGAGGGGGAGGCATGTATCGGGGGAGTACCACCATCTCTGTCGTTGTCGCCGCCGCCAGGACCGCCACCATCACCACCACCACCACCACTACTACTACTGAACGCCGCCGCCGCTGCCGCCTCCACCGCCATCGTCGTTGCTACCACTACTGCTACGCTTCCGACTATACACTAACATCGCCAGCAACGAAAAGGGAATCAACGGCGGCTGTGCATCCGCCACGGTTACCCGCTGGCTGCCGTCAACGTCGGCTACAGCGAGTGTCAAAAATGGATATCATTCGATTTTGCAATTTTATTATATCTCAGGCTGCCTTCTTAAGCTCCGATTACAAATGGTTTTCGAAATTACTAATAGCGATTTTTTATTGTTATTCTATCGGTGATTATACTTAATCCACCTGTTCACGATATTGTATAGTAAGCGTACTTGTTAGGATTGAGTTCATATCTGCTGAGGAAACCTGAAATAGCTTTCGTTTTTTAACACGTTCAAGCGACTTGGAATTTTTATTGTAAAACGGAGGATATTTTAAAAATTTGTTTTGAACGTGTCTCAGATTTTGTCTTTGATGTCTAATACATGTTAAACAATTGAACATACTCTTTTCTTAATAATTATGTTGTTTGTACTACCATAAAAATTGTGAGGCATACAACGGAAGCAAAATTATTAATCGTAATAGCGTGGGACGTATACGCCTATTCTTCACTTTCTTATCATTTATTCTGCTTCAACACTATTACTACCCACTCCTTTTTAAACATGTCTCCATTGAAACTAATGTAAGACATTTTCACTGGTTTGGTAGTTCTAATGTTAAATTTGTACTTATGTGAGCAGATTCTGCACCAATCAGAAGCAATCATGAAAATTGCGAATCACTGTGAAAAATCAACGTAATTGGGACCGAACGACATCGAATAAATGATGATTCGAAACAATTAACAGATTTAACTATCGTAAGCTCTGATTAACTTCATCAACGATTGAAGTGTCGTCAACAGATACATTTTAACTACATTTTCTATGGAGATTAATTAGGCTACGTATAAATTGTTTTAATATTCTGATTAATAAGTCTTTTAGGGGTACATTTAGTTTCTTAACACTTACCTTAAATTAATTGAAGCTTGGCGAAAATGTCGACATTTCTCTGCTGGCAACATTTCAATCATTGATTATGTCAATCAGAGCTTAGCCTATCAAATACGGATTCAAAACGTAAAAGCGATTCGGATCACTCGTTTTCTTATCGAATGTCCTTGTTTTCAGAACACAAAGTATAATTTGTTTATTTATCNATCCTGTACATACATACATAAATTCGCTTTTGGTTTTCACTTGAGATCTATCGACAGGGTCAAACGGGAAAGCGCGTAAAAAGAGAAATCGTGCATAAAATAGAATAGCCAACAAGTATTTTTGTTTCTCCTTATACAATCGTAGAAAGAAACGGGAAAACGCACAGAAAGAGAGATGATGCCGTAGAATAGAGCAAAGAAAATTTGCCTTTGATTTCCATTGTACAGCACAACTTAGCAATAGAAAGAAAAATAGGGAAAATGCAGAAAAAGAGAGATCATGCTGCAAAATAGAGCGAAGAACAATTGTGTCTGTTTTTCCCTATACAGCCGAATGTAGCAGCAGGCATAAACGGGAAAACGCGCGGAGAGATGACGCCGTAGAATAGAGCAAAGAACGCTTGCTTTTGATTTCCACTGTATAGCTGAGTCTAGCGTGAGGAAGCAGCGGGAAAGCGCGCGGAAAGAGAGATCATACCGTATAGAATAGAGAAGAAAGCCAGGGAAGAGGCGAGAACGTGGAGGCAGCGTTGCGCAGGTATACTCGCGTAAGCAAGTATACACTGCGGCGCGGTATACGCGCGTGGAAAGACAGCTGGCTGCCGGTTAGCGATCACGATACGTATTATACATGTATATACACGATATGTACGTGTCTCGTACCTGTTCCACGGGTTGAAAGAAGAAGGACGGGAAGTCACGATGTGTAATAAGGTGGTCGTCGACGCTGCGCGTAGGATTCCTGACGAAGAGGCGAGAGAGAGAGGCCGCGGGCGGAGCCGGGGTGCTGATCGTTCGGGCGGAGCTTCGTTCTGCAAGTTGTGCCGCCTACTCGACCCGGCGTCGCCTTTTCTCCCTCTTCGGCGAACCCTCGTCGTCGACGTCTCTCACCCCGTCGGGCCCGAAGCGGCAGCGCGCGCGGCGGCGGCGGCGGCGTTTCGCTCCCGCCGCCCCGACGACGGGCGAGAGGGATCCGCTCGAATCCACCGGGGGTGGGGGCCGAAACGAGAAGCCGACCGCCGGTGGCGCGGGTCAGTCTGTCGGGCAACCGGTCGCTCTCTCGTTTCTCGTTCTGTCCGTGTTCTCCGCTCGACGCGAGCGCTCTACACACGCTTCCGAAACGATCCGCGCGCTTACGATTAGAACCGCGACGCGTGTACACGTAAACGGGTGATCGGCGACAGTGGCGACAGTACGCTACGCGGAAAGTGCGAGGATCACGCGCTTGCAACAACTGCACGCATCGTTCGCGCGCCGATTTTCAACGCGGATATCGCGCCGTGTTCCGAGGCGATGCGCGCGCCTCGTCGCGCACCGAGACTCCGGATGTAACGCGAGACAGGGACGAGATCGTACGGAAGCTCGTCCTTCCTCGCCGAGTCTCGATTTTTACTCCCAAGGAGGTGGTTCCGTCCGCGAATTGTGCTCGCTCGAACGGTCGGTACCATTCGCGCCGGTATAATGTGGAGAACGGTTCCTGTTCGGAGGATTCAAGGACGGTTGACGACTGATTATATTCAGACGAAGGACAGATATCCGTCGTCGGGGCGATAATAGTCGCGTGCTCGGTGAACGCGAGCGGTGGGTGCCGGCAAACGGAGGAGCAGACCGCGGGTCCTGGTGATGTTGCTGGAGCTGAGAGGAACTCTAGCCGGCAGGAAGAGAAACGGATCGACGCTGTCTTCGTTCGGCGTTGGAGGTGGCGGTGGCGGAGGCGGCGGTGGTGCTGGCTGCGGCGGCTTGTCGCCGGCCAGCGAGGAGGACGACGAGGAGTCCCGACACCTGTTTCTTGGGAGGAAAATGCAGACCGAGGGCGCCGCCGCCTCCGCCGAATTGTCGCCGGGATGCACCCGCGACGACGGCGACGAGAGCTCCAGCCCGTCGCCGAACAGCAGTCTATTGAATAATCTTAACAACAATTGCAACTCGAACCGGCAATGCGCCACGGACTTCAGCATCGCGGCCATCATGGCTCGGGACTCTAGGCAGCAACAGCAGCAACAACAACAGCAGCAGGCTGCACAGCAGCCGGCGCAGAGCTCGCCGTCGCAATCGCAACCGCAGCAGACGCAAGTTCAGCAGCCGCATCATTATCGACAGCAACAGGCCGTCGGTGGCGGCAAGTTGCATCAACATGGTGAGCTTTCAATATTTTTCTATGGGCAAACGGGAGCTTCACGCCGAATCCGCGTGCGGACTTGCGATTTGACGTATGACGAGATCGTCTCTTCAGGAACCTTAAGCGTCCACTACTGAGAGAACTCGCTCTACTGAAATCGTTTCACTTTTTACTATACCAATTGTTTAGATGTTGTGAAATTCAAAGAGAAACAAGTGGAAGAGACATCGATTTAGATAGAGAATTATTGATAGAAAAATATTTCTTATTAAGAGGATAGAGTAGTGTCAGTGTCACCTATTTAATTAAGCTTCGATTGTGCGTCTTCATTTCTCAGAGAATCAAGCGAAGTTCGTTTCAATGTTTTAGTTTGAGTCTGATCATTCAGTGAGATTATCCCGATATTTGATAAAATAAGTTTTACAAAGAAAAAATCGTAGTTACTCGTGATTTCATATCAAAGAGAGATTGTCCTGAATAAAATGCGAAATCAGATCGTCTTGGAATATACCTTGAACTAAACACTGCAACGAATTTTATTACGATTCCTTCGAGAAGTAAATGTAGAATCGAATGACGTAAACTTATGCTTGCCACTATTATTATTTTCTGGTTATAAACAGAGCAGGAAATGCCAAAAATTTACCGGGAAATGTTAGACGTGTCACGTGACTAGCCCCTTGATTGGTCGTTGATAGTAGATTGGTAAGTAGGAATACGTGAACAGCATTGGTAACGATGACACGATACGATACGGGAACGACACGTTATGATACGATTCGTTAGCTCGGTACAAACAGTTTCGGATTTGAGGCACGCGGTTTCGATTGCGAACAATAACGAGGCGATAAACAATGACACGATACCTGCAACAGTGTCACGGCACGACACCTGTGATACGATATAACGAGGATCGGTGATTCATTATTAGACATTGTCCGAGGAATTAGCATAGGAACGTTCGAGCGGTTGTTCGCCGAGGCGAGAGAAAAGGAAGAGCAGGGTGTCGCGTGGTTAATGAATTATTTAGCGATGAAGATCGTGAATGAGGAGCGACTCGGCGTGTAGCCGTGGATCCGATTAATTCGCCTGGGCGAGAAACGGTGACGGCCGGCCGAGGTGTCTCATCGGAATTCTGGAAAACGGCTGGCTGCCTTTTGCCCAGCCAGACGTCCGAACGAGAGACCCCGGCACGGTGTTTGGTTTCATCATCGCGTATCTTGGACGCCCGCGGCGAATAATCGCCCACGAAGATTCTACGCGGACGAAATTTACGGTTGGCCACGGTGCAATTCACCCACGGAAACGGACCGTCGTTCCCAAATAAACTTGGGTAAACGGCGCGATGAATCGACCGGCCCGTCCGCTTCCCCCTTTACCCCGTTTCGCGTACCGCGTGCACGTGTGTTGGACACGCGCGACTACTCCGACGCTTCCCCGCCGCGTCGGCCGGACCGACCCCCGTCCACCCTGATCCGCGTTACGTTCGCCACTACCCTGGTCCGTCTGGTTCTGGCTCGCGGGTCTCGTCGGTTTCGCGCTCGAGACTCTTCAAATGTTCTGACTAAACCGACTGTCAAACAAAATGACTCCCATTAATACAGGGAAGTCCACGTAAACGTAGATACCTAAATATCTCCTTCGTTTGCAACAAGACAAACAATTTCAAAGTAATGAAAATGGTATCAAAATGCTTTGTAGAAGTTTGCTTTTTCCTCGACGTCATTTTCATCCAAATTATTTTTCTCTTATGCATGTCGTAGTTGACATTAAAACGCATTCAATTTTATTAGTGACAGGAGCTTAAAGCAACCTCTGATTCCCGAAATTTAAATTTTGAAATTAAATACAAAATTCATTCCCACCCATAGTACTGAATTTCAGCAGCGAGAAGCCGCAGATATGTAAGACTGATATGTCAAGCTTGAAAACTTAATCTCTAATAATTCTATCGGTGATGTTCAAAAGTCAGAAACAAGACTTGCAACGCATTGCATTAAAGATATTTTTCTTATGATTGCAAATTAAGGACATATTTAAATAAGCCATTTGGAGACATTTCGAAATAGAGTAATTTTTTAAATATCGGAACGAACAATTGTAGAAAAGGAATGGGAGAGCTGGCGATCAGGATGTTAAAGGAATTTCAAGAAAGACGTACTGCTTTTCTATAATACTGAAAACTTTTTTATATTGTCCGCAACCACCGAATGTCAGATGCCGGCCGCCAGTTTTAACGTTTGCAATGTAGCTGCTACCGACAGCCTTGAGAATCTACATTAACAATTTAATTGGTCACAAACATTGTTAGAATCTTACACTACCTTGTGACTGCTAAAGACAACCTTGAGAGCCTACGTAACTTAATTTTCTTTCGCATGTCAGAAGACTTAGTTTACTTTATAATGTAAGAAACTGCTATCGGAACCTCGACAAAAAAAGTATATAAAAAGAGTAAAGAATAGTGTAGACGACGCAGACCACATTAAAACGGATTTTTATCTTATTATCTTGAATTAAGGTGCGTGTTTTGAAAATACTTCTAAAATGACATACGGCGTTGGCGATCTCTACGGCTAATTAAAGTAACCCTTCTCGGGTCTCGCGTTTCGTTAGTGGCGCACAGTTGACTCCTGTTTCAACTCAATCGGCGGGAACAAATCGGCGGAACGCGTTTCACGAGTTTCACCCGGCCGTTCGAAAACATTCCGATCCAGGATGGCCGGTAGTCGAGGGACGGACGGGGTCTCGATGGCGCTTATACAAAACCGAGCCAGGAACGGTAGCTCGTTTTCGCGTGACCACCGACGACGAAAAAAAAATTTCACGCCGCTCGTATAGGGTTTCGTCTGAGTGTCAACCGTAATAAATAGCCAATGACTTAGTTAAGCAAGGACTCCCCCGATACGCACAAGTTACGACCTCTTCGGTGTTGCGTCGGGGATCGATTAACTCGGGGCCAGATGCGAGGGGTCCGGGCCCCGGACTGCTGCGCTGGAACGTGCCGAGGAACAGCCGGAAATCGTAACGATTCCTGTTCCTTTTATCATCCACGAAAATACGAAGAGGAAAAATCAGGGTACGCTGTCACACACTGTGAAATTATTTGCCATTCATGGATACAGTGATAAGCTAGTGAAAGTGAGATGTCTTCGTCAAACGCAGTTCACGATTTTTGTATTTAATTGATATCATTTATTACTAGACAACGAATTTGATTCATTGATATACAGGAATTGTAAATGTGGCATGTAGTATTTAAAACTATTGAAAACTATTGAGTAGAAATTTATTATTAATGAAACACGTGTTTGTAAAATTCCATTAGCATATAAAACAAATCGAAGTGAATATAAAGCTAAGATAACATAAAATGTAACAATGAGAAATAATAAATTGTAACGTGAGAACAGAAATTTGGACATTTATTATATTTCAATGAAATGATAAAGGAATTTCTGGAACTAATAAATATCATGTTTTACCTAAGAATCTGCAGTCTATTTACTATACATTTTTAAATGATTAATTTCAGTATTCCAGAGTTCAGAGATTGTGAGACCTAAAATATGCTGCGTTCACACTCTCGTTATCCTGAGTATTTATCTCCGTGATTGCTGTTTAAATAATTGTATTTCAAGTACGTATGAACTGATTATATCAACGTTTCAATTATCATGCTGATAACAAAACGAAAGTAGAAATTATAACATTTTTAATTATAATAAATTAAAAACAAGAAATTATAAATCTTACTGCCACCTATTTTACCCTTTATCTAATTCGTAATAATTAATTATAAGAAACGAATATGATGAATAAATTTTCGATGAGAAAATTCAAACTCGACATACAATAGGTTTATAATTGCAATAAACTTCACTGTTTTTATATTCAATTTCATTTAATGAAATTTAAATTCCCAGGCGCGTTAAATTATTAGATTAGTGTACACGTTGTTTTATTTCTAAAGCTTGAATGTTTCAACTGAAAATTATTTTATCGCATTTCTCTGTATTCTATCAATTTGTCTCTCAACAGAATTTGAATTAGAGATATTACAGTTTTAGTATAAACAAGTGATACATTATTAATCAGTTTGAATATTAAAACATTTCTTGAATTCATACAATTTATACTTGTGGCAATGAAGTTGTTAAATCATTCAGGAATATTTTAAAATAACTGATAAATTATTTGAATGACATGTATAAAATAAAGAATATAAAATTAAACAGTCGTCGTACGAAGAAGAAGACATTTGGTCCAGCTAATGTTAATACATATCTTCCTTAACTAATTCAATAAATTATTAATCATTTTGAATATTAAAATATTTGTTTAATTCATACAGTTTTGTAGTACTGTGGCAACGAAGTTATTAAATTATTCAGGAATGATAAATAATTTGTATCATAAAGAAGATAGACTTGAACAGTCGTTGCACGAGGGAGAAGATATTTGGTCCAGCTAATATTAATTCATCTTCCTCAAGTAATCCGTGAGTACAATGTATTTCCAGTCTGTAATTTTTGTAAATATACACCACCTGCAGCAGTGATTGATTTCTGAACGATATCGATCTTGAAATACGTAGATAACGTTCGAGGGTAGCTTATCCTCCGCGAGGCGTAAACATTGAACGTGAAAATCATGCGATCGGCAGATGTAGTTACGCGTCCTCGTGCTACGAGTCATCGATGTGCACGTGATTCCGTGGATCGTTTCCATGCGGATGAATCGCAGCTCGCTTTACCAATATCCTCGCCGGCGTGGAACCATTTCTCTCTTCGAAAATTCTGATAATCTCCTTGTACTGTCAGGCGAGATTCCTTAAAACGATAGACGGCGTGTTGATAAGCGTGGAGAGATAATAATTTGCGACCGCGGCAAATTTTTATCGTCTCTCACCGCGGTAATAATACAATCTTTAAATGATAAGCTTGACGAAATAATAACATCTGCTAAATCGATTTCATGCAATTACCGATCAAGCTCTTTTGTTCAACGAGAATTCG